TTGCATTTAAAACTCAGAGTCTAAAAGTCTGATTCCACAGATGAGTTTGGTATAACGTTGACTTAAATGCGCAGCCTAATGTATTCAAGAGCAAATTTACATTTTCAACAATGAGCTCACACAGTTAGACGTTGGTAAAAACACACAGATGGTTAAAATTGCTGCCAGGGCTTCAGTTCTGCGGCGATTACACGGGCAGACGAACGGATAGATTTAAACGGAGATCTGTCTTGGAAAGGACATAATTGTGGGCTGTCTTGGTGTTGATTCTGGTCTCTGGGTTTTAGGCTGCAGTAAGTGTTGGAGATCTTCAGATTTCACAGCGAACGCTACGGAACTTCTGCAGAGATGAACGAGAGACTTTGTGCTCGTCTGATCAACTCATCTGTGTTTGAGTTCAGATGAGACCACAGAAGCTAACCAAACTTTTCTAGAGTATGTTTGAGGCATATTTCACAGCAGAAGCACTAAAACAATATAAGGATCACAAAAATAAAAGCTGTTGAAGGACAACAATCGGAAAAAACAACAACATTTTAATATTTTATTAGCAGGTTTTGTACACACACACACACACACACACACACATAAATATATGTTTTTATACATACAAACACACACCGTTGAAGTTAAAATTATTAGACCACCTTTGAACTTTTATTTCTTTTTTAAATATTTCCCAAATGATGTTTAAAAGAGCAAGGAAATTTACACAGTATGTCTGATAATACTTTTTCTTCTGGAGAAAGTCTTATTTGTTTTATTTCAGCTTTAATAAAAGCAGTTTTAAATTTTTTAAAAGCCATTTTAAGGTAAAAATTATTAGCCCCTTTAAGCTATATATTTTTTTCGATAGTCTACAGAACAAACCATCATTATACAATAACTTGCCTAATTACCCTAACCTGCCTAATTAACCTAGTTAAGCCTTTAAATTTCACTTTTGGCTGCATTTTAAACTGCACTGTTCAAGTGACTCAATTCCGATTGTTTTCTCCCATGTGGCACAGATCGGATATGGTCCATGTACGTGTAAGCAGGAACAAATCACATGCATTCCCATTTACTCAAATCAGATTCAGGCCTTGTTCATATGTGGAAATTTATCCGATATGAATCGGATCTGTGCCATTGTGTCTGCTGTGTAAGCAGGTCGGATTTTCACATGTCAGTGCGAGTCGTGCGTCATTAAAAACCATAGCGAATGACGTCAAGTCTGACGCTTTCATTTCAGTACAGACTTCAGCAGAGTGCCAAACCTTAAATCTCATACAAGCGTACTTAAACAGCTTTTATATTGTCATATAGCACAGGTATTTAAGCATGTTAACGAGAGGGAGAGATCTCTGTCAATGTCTGCCATGTAATCAATATAACCCAAGATAAAACTAGTGCAAACATCATGTGCATAAATCACGCCATGGACATTACATTAAGATGCCTGAAGGTTTAAAAAGTCAATATATCCAAAGAAGATGGACAAATGAGAACCTTTCTGTCATAAACTAGAGTAAAACAGCTTGTCAAAAGCTGCGAACAGATTACATACAGGAATAGAGAAAAGAGACCTCTTTAATTATCAGCTGTTAGTCAGCGCCTGCTCTTTTTTTCCTGTTCATTGCGCCTTTGCCGTGTGCTGTGTAAATGCAGATGATCGGATACGAGTCATTTTTCAAAGATGATGTAAGCAGGTCATCAAAAAAATCTGACATGTTCACAAAATCGGAATTGACCATCAAGATCTGCAGTGTAAATGCAGCCTTTAAGCTGTATGGAAGTGTCTTGAAAAATATCGAGTCAAATATTATTTACTGTCATCATGACAAAGATAAAATAAATCAGTTATTAAAGATGAGTTATTAACACTATTATGATTAGAAATGTGTTAAAAA